CTTCGAGACTATTTTAGAGTTAAGATTTTGTTTAAGGCCCTAGCATACCAATTAAAGAAGGAAGCTGTTAACTGTTTGGTCTTTTTCCCCCTGATTTTTCTAGGGCTCTTATCTGGGTGAATTTACTGATTTTGACTTGTCAGAAGTTCCTTATCAAGAAAGGTTTTTTAAAAAGGCATTTGTTGAGAAAAGCACAGGAGTTCAGATTATAGTGCAAGTTAAAATAGGAAGTCAAAGTTCCTAAAGGAGAAGGTTGAGTCCTTGGCTTAGACCAACCATGACACACAAGAAAGACTCTATGGTTGGCCAACAGTCAGTGCCTGTGAATAGTGCCCAGGGATCCCTGACCAGATGCTAGCAAGGGGCCATACAAGCACCAACCCAACACTCATTGAGCTGGAATACCAACTAAACAAAGTGACATTCCTTCACAAATTGAGAGGACAGGGAATATCCTCAAATTTTGTAAAGGACCGAAAGCGAAGTTTGATCAATTACTTTTCCACAAAATGGTCCTCAGAACATTAGCCCTCAGGTCTGGCTTGGAATGGATTAGAAGCTTATCAAGCCAATGCCATACAGAACAATCTTTTTTTTTTTTTATTTTTTTTTTTTTTTTTTTTTTTCTTTTTCAATTTATTTTTTGGGACAGAGATAGACAGAGCATGAAGGAGGGAGGGGCAGAGAGAGGGGAGACAGGATCGAAGAGGCTGCAGGCTCAGGAGTCATCAGCCCAGAGCCTGGCCGGAGACCGAACTCACCGGACAGCGAGATCGTGACCTGGCTGAAGTCGGACGCTTAACCGACTGCGCCACCCAGGCGCCCCAGAACAATCTTTTTATATATTTTTATATTCAACTGAGAGAAAGGCTCTCTAGGAAAAGCAAACGAAACTAGCCTATGAAACCAGACTTTGCACATATAGACAAATAATAGCAAAAGCAAAGCAAGTAGCAGTAGAATAAGTACGTCGATGGCATAAACATATTTGCCAAATGGTACACCTCTAGGATGAGAGATATAATTGGCTTGCACAAAGATCTAAGTCAATTACCAAATAGTATACATCTCAATCAAAGGTCTAGTTACCTGGTACAAAGACCTAAGTCTAAAGACCTTAACCAAAGACACTTTTGGTTACAAGTCCTAGGATAACAAAATTCAGAGAGCAAAAAGAGCCCATTGGAGCTGGTTGGAGCTGTTGAGACCACCACAGCTGGCTACAGATTCTGAGTGCCCCTGGAGTCTGGGCTCCAGTGAACGCACCTGTGGTCCAAGCGTCCTGTGGAGGGTCTTCAAAATGATCTCAGTGGACTCTGTTGAACTGTCCAAGGATGATACGACCACCACACAGTATCTGAAACAGAAATAAATGCCAAACTGCTTACTACAGTGAGAAGAAACTATACTTGTCAAGCACCGTATCCAGAATGGAGCAGAATGCTGACCACCTGTGGGGACTGGGGACAGCGTGGAGTTCAGGGCAGTGAACTGACATCCCCCTAAGACGAGGTTCCTCGGTGAGACTGCTGTCAATTGATTGGTGCTCAGAGGAGCATTTATTGGGGGTGAGTCCTATCCTAATTGGCTGACGTTCGAGGCCAGACATGGATTGTGTGGTTTGCAAATGAGTATTCACAGAGGGGGTTTGTCCCTGGTCAGTGGAAGATATGTAAACAGCAAGACTCCTTGTTGCCATAGCCACAGAACAATCAGTCTTCCTAAGTTTGTTGGGAAGTTCAAGCGATGTTTTCACCCTCCCCTGTGTGGAGCCCTCCCTTAACGTGTAAGACCATTTCTAGTTTGAGCATCCTGGTTCATCGGTCCATCTTCCATTCTGACAGTGGGCTGGTCTAACCTGCAAACCACCCAAAACCACTTCCAAGGTAACAGTCTTCATCCTTGAGCTGCAGTACCTACCATTGATGGTAATCTATCAATTATGTGTGATATTAATAGGAAGGCGAAGCTGAGTGGTTAGAGGAAACGAAAGAAACCTACTAGGTTTATGATTAACCCGTAAATCGTTATTTAGTACCTAACGATTTCAGAAAAATGAGAAGTCTGACACATAAGTACACGTCCCCCAAAGAACGCAGTTATTTGGAGAGATGAGGCTAATTGTTCACCTAGAAAAATTTTGTATGTGTATCCTAAATTGTGAGATGTGTGCTTCAAACGATACAGCATTAAGAAGATGATTAAGAAAAGTCTAATTTGGCTTGGATGTCCACTTTATTTTTTATCCTCCTACTTCTTTTTCTGTGAATTGCGTGTTGAGCAATTGATAGAGTAATTAATAGAGTTCTATTCTCAAGACTCAATTAGGCGCTTTATTGTAATCATTGATGAGCAGAAAGCAAAGAGCTAAGGAGTCCCTGAGTCAGAAAGCCACAGGGCGAGCAACAAAAAGCCATGAGACACTAGAAACCTGAAACTTCCCAGACGACAAAGATCCTCCTTCCAGCGGAGCCTCTGCTGTCCCAGAAGAACCATTTTAAATCCGTGGCCCTCTTTCTTCTGTCAGGTGAGTTGGTGTTGAAGGATGCATGAAGAGGGGCCCAGTTAAACAGTCAACATTTCATATCGAGGTCCTAGAAAATGTGCTTTTCTGGGCCACGTGGGGTTCTAGGACTAACCTATAAATAACTCCTGACTCACAGAAAACCAGAAAAAGATAGTATTCAGAGAAAATATTTAATCTGAATCTAAAGCAGAACCATAAGGGGTTCCCATGGGACATAAAAAAGAATGGTTAAAACAGGAATCTTGAGTCTTTGTTGGAAGGGGCTATGGACGTGGGCTCCCCACTGCTGTACTAACAACTCCGTGAGGAAGGAACATGCATGTAACCCCTGCGAGGGTTTAGCTGAGCCCCTCTATTGACACGAGGAAAGTCCTCCTGAAGACAAACTTAGGAATAAACTCCCTGGGATATCTTTAAGAATGCCCTTCATTCAACATTAGAACCATCACACAGCGGACGATTCTTGCAGACCCAGAGAATGTCCGTTTTATCTGGGAACAGCTCATCACCTGTAGGAACCCAGGTAAACTGGAAGAACACCAGGTTTTATAGGATGACTGCCAAATGCCCATACAAGCAGGCCTGCACGTAGGGCACTTCACGTTCCTGTACAGGGACCACAACTAAAGTGATGAACTTCCATAAAAGTGTCCTATAAAACGTCAGCTCCCTTTCCCAAGACTAATTTCCATAGAAATATTCAAATCCTACACTTAAATGTAGGTCATATGCCTGGAAACCTTGCAACTTTTTCCCATTATGCAACAGGAAACTCCTACAAACATAATGTGCCAACACGGGGATATATCTCATCCTTACAGAAGGCTGGTCTTCCATTGGTAGTTTCATTGTGGGGCTCATCGTGTCTTGCAACTGGAATTTGAGTACATAAAGGACTACGCAGGGGCTTCTGGAGTCAGTCTGAAAAGGCTAATGACCACAGGGAAGGCAGACAGGGAGTCAGGATGGGAGGGGTTGGCTGTTTCCCAAAAGAGTGCCATATCTCCAAAGCCAGAATATCTGGCTGTGTGTTGCTGTATTTATTTCTACTGTTAGACCAGAGCCTTTGACAAAGTCTAGTTTAAGTGTTCTACTTTTATATCAGTTGTGCTATAGAGAATTAAGGGGTGGTCACAGGGGAGTCACAACCCTGAGTGGCCAGTGCTACCCCTGAAAAAGTGCTGAGAGGGAGGAGAATTTTTAGGGGTTTTAAAGTCAGGACCAGAATGTTGCTTCAAGTTGCCACCCTTGGAAAAGGGGTAAAAATCGCTTCCCTGATGCCGTTTTGGGTTTGAGTTTTATTAAGAAATTGGTAGGTTTTCCCATTTGTGCGGAAAAATAAAGCTAAATATTGTGTTGCATTTCCATAAATGAATTCCCTGCAACGCACTACCGGATATGCACTAATAATATATGAAAGGTCACTGGTGCATCTCGGGGTGAGACTGGGGTCTAGAAAGAGGTTTTCACTTCTCACTCTATGTCCGTTTTTCCAGGTTGCGGTGTTGTGGACTATTTGTTCCAATATTTATGATTTTCTTTTCGATTGCACAATACTTGGTGTTTCACTATTCTTCAAGCAAATAACAAGAAGGTTATCATGCAAATTTAAGAATTCATATAGCAGCTAATCTTACCTTAACCATAGTGTCCTTATTTATACCCCCGTTATGCTCCATGAACAGATAAATCGATTCCTTTGGACTCCCAATCTGTAGATGTAGCCATGAACTGGTCAAGGGGGTTAGGTTAACAAGAATGACCCTCTGACCTGGTCCTTCGCCTAAAAGTTTGTGTGCTATTGAGAGAGAGCTGTGTGAGCATCCTTTTCGAATGCACTGGGATCACAGAATGCTGAATCCGCTGGGTTGGGCTGGGAAGAATGATATCGAACGTCCACGTAGTCTCACCCGCTAGGGAATGAAAGTCTGCTTTCCATGAAGCCCCGAGGGAGGTAAGTGTCCCGGTGAGCGAACTGTCCCGAACGGTCCTGGGAAACTGACACCAGGAGAAAAGTTCTAGAAAATTCCTTGAGGGAGGATTCACATGAGCACAGAAAGTTACGAAGATTTCAGAAAGTTGTGAGGATTTTAGAAAGTCAGACTTTAATTGTCCCAGGGTTTGACAAGGATTCGGAGCACTTTAGATTACTCATGTGCCTTTGTCACCGAATTACACGCACTGACTATGTGACTGGCTTATTTTTTTCAGTTGTTTGTTGTTGAACACGCAGCAGTGGGAAATTCGTCTTCATCATATTTATTATGGGTGTTCCCAATTTCCTTCCACTTCTAAGACGTAAGCAAATGCCAGCTCTGTCACCACGTTTCCACGGCTGAGGGTGGGCTCCCCAGGCAGCCAGTCTCCCGCACGCAACGATCAAGGGCTTTCTCTTCAAGTGGGTGTGCGGGACCCAGCGTCTGGCAGGCACAAGAAGGTGGCTCTTCATGAAGCTTCTGCTTATCTCTTCCAGGCGAAGACCTCTGCTCAGCAGCCTCAGATGGTGTTCACAGTCCGCCACACCACCGTCACCTTCCAGACAGAAGGGGACACGTGGAGGGAACAGAAAGAGCAGAAGGCCGCCCTGATGGTGGGCATCCTCATTGGGGTGTTTGCGCTCTGCTGGATCCCTTTCTTCACCACGGAGCTCATCAGCCCCCTGTGTTCCTGCGACATCCCCACCATCTGGAAGAGCATCTTCCTTTGGCTTGGCTACTCCAACTCCTTCTTTAACCCCCTGATCTATACAGCTTTCAACAAAAACTACAACAGCGCCTTCAAGAACTTCTTTTCTAAGCAACACTGAGCACGAGGCCTGGGGATAGGAAGGAGCTGTCCCGTAACTCCATCAAATTTCCAATTCTACCTACTTCCCCATAAATACCCGGCACCACACGGAAGAGGCAAGTCCTCGGAGTTCTCCGGGGTCGTCTTCAGAACTAGCCCTCCCTTCCATGCTCCAAGGCAGGAATGTGGGTCTTCCCAGACAGTTTTGGTGACCTTATTAATCTAACTTACCTGTTCTTGCTCCCCCTGCACCTACCAGCCACGGACTTTGCCCACAAAGTGCCCTTTCCTCCCCCAAATCCACTCCAGCATGGTCATTGTCCTTGCCCCAGAGAAGTCAGACATAGCAGATGAGAGGGAGGAAATAAAGCAACATGTACAGATTGAGAATGGGTGGATGATGATGAATTAGAAGTCATACTGCGATATCCGAGGGGTAGGAAACCATAATTCCAAGTTTTGTGGAATAGTCCTTATTTCGAACGTTCCATTCTGTGGTCCTGGTAAATATACCCTAGTACTTACTGTGTATGTCCCAGTGTTTGGCCATAAAATATGGTCTCTGAACCTATTAAAGCACATGGCCACAGCTGTAAGACCAGTGAATACTGGCTTTAAGGCTTTGTTTGTGGCAACCACACGTGTGTGTGTGTGCGTGTGTGCACACACGCACGCACACACACACACACACACAGAACTCTGGAAGAGGTGAATGTTCCAAAGGCCAGTTTATTCTAAAATCCAACCCGTCAACTTGGAACAGGAGCTAAAAGTCAAACCAAATATCTCCCACCATTCTGAGGCAACTGTGCACAAACCATAGAAAAATAGACTAGTTTTGTAGACTCTGTCAAACTTGCTTATTTTCTATGGAGTTTCTTTGTATAGAGTTTATTCAAATGTTGCAGGACAAAGACCTTTACCCTTGGATCATGAGGTTAGAGGAAGCCAGGTGTCATGAAGCTGGCGGCTTCTTTTAGTCTCATAACCAAGGACTGTGAAGGTATATTTACCGAACACGTACACTTTAAAGGGACAGTTGGTTAATTTGCTATTTTTTACTGATGTGTGAATGCCCATTTTGAGGCCAACACTACTAGTAACTAATGAGAAAAGCAGAAATATGGTAAAATGTGGCCTCGGTCCTCTGCAGGTTGACACCTCTATGTAAGTGAGTCAAGGCATTTAAGTGATGGTGTGGTGTTTATATGATCATATAAAACCTAGACCATTCTACAAAACTTTAAAAAGATCTTGGGCAATAAAAGTGCCTGTGGTCCACTATGTCCCTGGTTCTTTCGATGCATGAATTCAAAAACTATATCTCATAATAATCTTTGATTATTATCATAAATATATATGTATTCTTTTGTATATAATAAATTATATCAAGAATAGGAAATCTGTGTGAATTTGCAGTCTTGGTTGGAAGTTTAGTCTTGCGTTTACTGCCAAGATTCTTTACTCAAAGAATGTGAGCAGATGAGAAAATGTTGCACAGCTTCTGTGGGTCATGGCTGATGATGCTAAGCACAGACCTCTTATCTATGCATTGAAGCAAGTTCATGGAAGAATTTGCTTGGAAACATTCTTAGGTTTTTCTGCCTTCTGTTTATATAACTTGAAGTGCCAAACCTACAAATATTTTAATTTCTTTTTAGTTTTTTTTTTTTGAGAGAGAGAGAGAGAGAGACAGAGGGAGAGGAAGGAGCAGAGAGAGAGAGAGAGAGAGAGAATCCCAAGCAGGTTCCATGCTGTCAGCACAGAGCCTGGTGTGGGGCTCAAACCCATGAACTGTGAGCTCTTGACCTGAACTGAAACCAAGAGTCAGATGCTTAAGTGACCGAGCCACCCAGGCACCCAACCCACAGATATTTTACAATACGGATTGTTCACTTCAGTTACCTTCCCCACTATTACTTGGAACCAGAGAGACCACCAAATGCTATTAGATTCTAGTGTCATAATAAAGGACGAGCTTCTAAAATTTCATCAATACCTCGTAGCAGAGAAGGCTACGCTCAGACAAGGGGAGCCCAGAGATGGGACATCACAACCAAGGGAAGGGGAGCCTGGGTGGCTCAGTCAGTTGAGCGTCCGACTTCGGCTCAGGTCATGATCTCACAGTTCATGAGTTCGAGCCCCGCGTCGGGCTCTGCACTGACCGCTCACAGCCTGGAACCTGCTTCAGATTCTGTGTCTCCCTCTCTCTCTCTCTGCCCCTCCCCCACTCGTGCTCAGTCTCTCTCTCTCTCTCTCTCTCTCGCTCAAATAAACATTAAATAAGTAAATAAAAGAACCACGGGTAAACTTTTCAGTCAATTCTATCTGAAAGAGCCCGCGAATGTCATTGCAATCCATTATTTCAACGTTTGTCTTTCTGTTTTAAAAAAACAAGGGTTCCTTTCCTTGACACTTTTAGGAAGATCTGCTACATTTGTCTGGTGGCTTCAAAAACTCCTTGACTCCCCCAGGATTCCGTATCCCTCGTTGGAGAAACATGTCATTATTTTCATTTCAGTCTCCTACAGAGGCTGTTCATATTTCTGTCAGATGAACAGGTACCGTGGCTGTTGTCATTCGATGTGTACTTAACGCCTCCCGGACGGCACGTTATACGTCGTGCGACACGCTCTGCATGCACCAGAGTGAGAGACACTGTCCCCACTGTGGAAGAAGTGGCAACTCATGAGTTATTCTGCTTCTGTTTCAGTTCCAAAAGTTGTCCGTGACTAGGTAGGAAACGCTGGAAAATGCAAATGGTGATTGAGCCAGGGTGTCTAGGGTGCATTTCGTCACCTGTGACCCCGCCACGGCCCGCGGTCAGCGGTCCGGGGCTGGCTGGCCGTGCTCGTCGGCGCTTCTGTCTGTCAGCGGGGCTGGTGTGCTCGCCTTCCCGAGCAGCCCCTGAGTGATGCGGGGAGCCCGCTCTGCCGAGGGTGCCACGGCCCTGGAGGACCACGTCCATCGTGGGTAGCCCGTGTCTGGCTGCCACGGGATCACCCAGCCGCACAACAGCTCTCTGTTTTGTCTCCCCCTTTGCATTCAGAGCAGCTCACACTTATTCATACCGTGTGCCCAGAGATGTCGTCTCTGGACATCCCGGTGTTTCTGTTAACAGAAACGATGAGGGTCCTGGCTCCTGACACAGCTGGGCAAACTCTGAGGGTGGTGGCATTTGATGTGACAGTGTCTCCAGGCTCTGCCCTCCAACTTCTCTCCAGTCGGGTCTGCTGGAGCTGAACTTGGGGGTGTCGTGGGCTGGGCCGTGTCCCTCCAGAGTTCATAGGTGAAGCCCTAACCCCCCGGCCCTCAGGATGTGGCTGTACGTGGAGGTGATTAAGGTGAAGTGAGGTCAGGAGGGTGGCCCTGGTCCAGTGTGACTGGTGTCCCTATAAGAAGGGGAGGTCAGGACACACACACAGGGGGATGACCCCATGAGGACACGGGAGGAGATGGCATCCACGCGCCAGGGACAGAGGCCTCAGGAGGGACCAACCTACCCACACCGTGATCTCCGACTCCCAGCCTCCAAAACTGTGAGAAAATGAATGCATTTGTTTAAACTGCCCAGCCCGTGGTCCTTTGCTAAGGCAGCCCAAACACACTAACACAGGATAGGATTTGGGTTAGGGTTATCGAACCAAACCTCCAGTTTGGCATCAGACAGCCTGCCTGTCTCCTCTGCCCTGACCAGGCACCTTAAGGGGGACAGAGGTCCGGGCCCAGATTGGAGAAGGTGGGCTGGAGAGAGTGGGTACAGAGGCCACCTCTCACCTTCCTGCTCCTCAAGGCAGGTGGGGTCCCCTGGACACTGAGCCGTTCCCCAGCGGGTCACAGGGATCACGATGGACCGCAGTCGGCGTTCACAACTACGCCCGTTGTGACTCTAGCATCAGCAAGAAACCACGCCACTAATAAATACATTCTTCATTACTTACACTGATGTCTCCAAATACAGTGTGTTAGAATCTTTGAGACAATGTAAGTTTTGTCTCATGGACTTAATTCCCCCCCCTACATTTTAGAATCAATCTAATGTAATCTAATGTTAATCAATCTAATCAATCTAATGTTAAGGTCAAAGAGGGGAAGGATCTCGGGAAAGACCACGTGAGGTTTCGCAAGTGTGGCTGGAGACAAGGGCCTGGCGGTGAGCTCAGAGCCACATTTGAGAACAAAACTGACTGCCCGGTTCTTCTGTCCATTTAATTGTGGTTTTAAATTTTTTTTTTTCAACGTTTTTTATTTATTTTTGGGACAGAGAGAGACAGAGCATGAATGGGGAGGGGTGAGAGAAAGAGAGGGAGACACACATGGAAGAGGTTCTGTGTCCCGAAATATCAGCCCAGAGAGTCAAAGGTCAACTCACGGACTGCCAGCGAGATCGCGGGATCTGATTCAGCGTCGGACGCTAACTCGACTGTGCCACCCAGGCTCTTTTTTTTTTTTTTTTTTTTTAATTTTTTTTTTCAACGTTTTTTATTTATTTTTGAATGGTACTGTGGTTTTAAATGAGACCGTGTAGAGGCAATGGTTTCTTAGTTTCAAAATATATATGGTATTGAGGGGCTTGGGCACTCCGGGGTCAAGTTAAGCGTCCGCATCGCTCAGGGTCAGATTCATGTTCAGGAGTTCGAAGCCCCACCGGGTTCTTGTGCTGACAGCTCTGAGCCTGGAGCCTTTTTTTTTTTTCTCGATTCTGTGTCTCCCCCCCACCCCCTCACTTCCCCTTTTCTCCTGTCAGGCTCTGCCTCTCTGTCTCCTCTTTAAAAATAAACACAGGCTTTTGGTGGCGAGCATTTTAGTCAGGTTAAGCTGTCCACTTCAGCCACCACGATTCTCGCTGGTGTCTGGGCTGGAGTCTCACAAGCTGGCTTCCTGGGCTGATGGCTCAGAGCCTGAGCCCCACTGTGTCTCCCTCTCTGCTCCCTCCTCCCCGTTCATGCTCTGTCTCTCTCTGTCCCAAAAATAAATAAAAAACGTTGAAAAAAAATTTTTAAAAATAAACATTAAAAA